ATATGGGAGATGGCTCAGTGGAATAAGTGCTTCCCTGGCAAGTGCAAGGGCCTGAATTCAAGCCCCAGTTCTGGCAAAAAAATTAAAAAAAATAAAAAGAATAAGTTGGTTCTCTTGTGGTTTTTACCATAATACCTAAAATATTTGGCATATCTCACAAGCTTAGCAAGGTTTGGGGACACTGAGGAATAGTCCCCAGATGTATCCTGTGTGACTGAGACACTTACCTCCGCAGCTGTGCACGTGCTGTCACTAATGATAGCCCATAGCTCAGTGCCTCTGCAGATGCTCCCTTAGCCAAGGGAAGCTGCTTCACCCACTGTTCCATCCCCTCCCCCATCCAATGGGCCGAGGACTGTGTCACAAGTGCGTTGGAGTCGAACTGCTCTCTTTTCCCGGTCTGCTACTATTATTCCCTCATAGGTATTATCCTGGAAAGCACATCCCAAGAAACATCTTGCACATAACTTGGTCTCAGAGTCTACATTGAGGAAAGTCCAAGCTAAAATACTCTCCCAACCCTGTAGAAATTCCATGCAAAAATTTTATCAGCTCCTCGGGCCCACTAAGAGCTCTGTAGTTTATGGGCGTTTTGCATGGGGTGCTGCTTCTGCCTGGCCTCTTTCCACTTCTCTGCATTATCCATTTTACTGATCTAATTACTCATTGGCCTTCAAGTCTCAGTTAAGATGCACGTCCAAGCTGGCCAAATAGTTTAGGGCCAGCCAGATTGCTCAGCAGATTAAAAGGACTGCTTAGGCAGAGTCAGGGGCCAGGTTCAAACCCCTGTGTGCAGTGCCAGGGCGCACTGAGATGGCAATCGAGACTGGGCATGGTGGCACGCGCCTGTAATCCCAGCACTTGGGTTGGTGAAAACTGGAGAATCATGAGTCCGATCTGTGTACTGAGACCCTGTAGACCCTGTACTAACTACATAAAAAGAAAAAGATGTGCTTCCTCTGAGCTGTTATCTCTGCTTGACTGAGCACAAGGCACCACCTTTATGCTGCTCTGGTCCTTCGTACCACCCCTGGCTACATAATCAGTGCGCCGCAGTGCATGGCAATGACATATCGTACGACTGTCTCCCTAGCAATCCTACATCCTGTGCAAGGACATGGACTCTACTGTCGGTCGCCACATCTCTAGGGCACAATCCAGTGCCTAACAGAACAATAGCTGCCCCTCTGTGTTTACTAAATGAACACAAGGTAGAAAGTAAAGAAGTGGAAATGCCTCAGGGATTTAAAGAAAACCTCTCAATGCTGGGTTTGGAGATCAAAGACCAGCCGCCTGGATCTGGTCACACTGAGGAAACAGTGGTGGGTAGTGAACGGCAGGACAGTTCCATCAAGACTATTCCCCAAGGGCCAGCCAGATAGCTCAGCAGACTAAAGTGCCTCCTTAGGCAGGTGCAGGGACTGGGGTTCGATCTCCCACATGCCCTGCCAGCCCCAACCCCAGGGCACGCTGAGACAGAGGCTGAGACTAGGAGTGGTGGCACGCGCCTGTAATCCCAGAGCTTGTGAGTCTGAAAACAGGAGAATCACTACGAGTCTGATCTGTGTAGTGAGACCCTGAAGACCCGTGCTAAATGCATACAAAAAAGATTGTTCCCCAAAGTTTCATGCTTGGAAGGTGGGCAATCTTAGGGGGTACAATGGACTTGCTATTAGGCAGTCGGGTCTGACTGGAAGGCGTGGATTGCTGCATGTGTAACTTAGACAGCTGGGTCTCGTGCCCTGGCTCCCCCCGTTTCTCTCCCTGGCCACAAAAATATACATGCCTTACCTCCACCCAGGCCCCTCTGCCATGCTGACCTACCTGTCTGCGAGCTGACTGACTGGGGACTGTTTAAGCCCAAATAAGCTTCTTCTCCTTTAAATTGTAAATGTTGGGTATTGTGCCTGCCTGGGGAGTGATGAAAAAAGTGATAAAGACAAAAAGCTGAAGTTTCTCTCTCAGAAGCCTGGACAGGAAAGACTGACCACATGCATGGGATTAGGTGAAGTCCTCACCACTGAGCCAAGAGCTGCGATGGAGCCAGACAGTAAATACAAGAAAGACACCAATGCAGCAAAGTGACCGCGCTCATCACACTGTGGTTACGCTGCTGGAAGCCGCCCCTCTCATCCTTCCCAACACAACACCCAGAGAGTTGGACGACTCTGAATAAAGAAGGCCACGGCGGGCCAGGGTGAACCGCAGCTGGGACCAGTTCCCGCATGAGTTTAGTCTCTGATTTATGAAAGCTGTGGTCCCAAGCGCACGAGAGGCTCCACGGAGCTGTAAATCTGTCCTGGGGCTCAGCCAGCCCAGTGAGCGAAGGTGTCAGCTGTGGAACTTGCAACAGCAAAGCTCCCCTAACCAGACAAGCTGTGGTCAGTCAGAGGTCAGCCTGGTCCTTGTGCAGGTGGTGACAACAGAGAGGGTGGTGTGCAGCCAGAGCACTGCAGGGACAAGGGGGCCCATGCTGGAGTTACGCCACGCCCGCTAGAGCCCACTCTGCGGGCTGGGGCAACAGCAGCCCTGGCAGCGGCTGAGGACTTCCGCTGTACCTGAGGCCGCTTCCCACTTTCGCTCCTCACTGACTGACTGTGCAGTCATCCACACTGAATGTGGATTTCATCGTAAAAATAATGCAAGCTGTTATGGAAAGCTAAGGAAAAGTGTACCCAAAAGGGCCCCGCCCAAATGGTAATCCCAGTACATTCAGAACTTCCCTCCACTGAGCCTTTCCCATCTTGCTTCCCATTCTCCAGATTAGGAGTTGAGGCACTGGTGGAAGAAAATTGCAAGAGCCCCTTCTGAACAAGACTTTACTTAAAAGATGGCAAGCATGAGAAGTTTAAGAGAGAGCATTCTCACTTGGAGCCTGAGTCAGGCAGAGATTTTAAAATAAAGTTTTAGAAGACGAGGTCACCGAAAGTATGACTCATTTAGGGAGTCGCTCAAAGCTAGCTTTTAAAGATAGAAGGAGTTACGGCCAGGTGTGGGGGTGCACACCTGCAATCCCAGCACTTGGGAGGCTGAGGCAGGAGGATCATTATGAGTTTGAGGCCAGCCTGGGTGACAAGATGAGTTCAAGGACAGCCTGAACTGCATAGTGAAGTCCTGACTCAAAAAGACAGAAAAATAAATAAATAAATAAAAAGAGGAATTGTTTTTAAATACGAGGGCTTGGACAGCAAAGACCAGCTGCCTAGATCCAACCATAATGAGGGAGCAGCCGTGGGTACTGAAGGGCAGGATGCTTCCAGTCAAGACTGTTCCCCAAAGTCTCATATGCCAGGTAGGGTGTTTGGAAGGTGGGGAATCATAGGTGGCAATATTGTACGGGATTCTACCAAAGGGGGGAGCTGAGCATATCAAAGAAGGGCAGGCTGCCTACCTGGCATGATGGCACATGCCTGTGACCCCAGCACTCCAGAGGCTGAGGCAGGAAGATCAGTGCAACTTTGAGGCCAGCCTGGGATACATAGTAGGTTCAAGGCCAGCCTGAACTACACAGCAAGACCCTTTCTTAAAAAAAAACACCTGCTGGGCACAAGAAAATATTCAGTGAAATATTCTCAAACTTTTAGTCTCTCTTACAGGGACCAAAAAGCTGACACCTAGCTGGAGGTTTTTCTATACCCCATGCATAGCCCCAGTGTTCTTCGCTTTGATAGGTGACTGAGAAAGAACATAGCCAATCCTAGATTCACTCGCATTCTAGGAGTTCAGATAAGTAGAAGTCTGTACCACAAAGGTAAAAGTTGGAAGTCTTATCACTTTGCTCCAGAAATATTTCGTATTTTCAATAAGGGAACTGAGGGAGCAGAGTCCTGCATATCGCTAGCCTGTGGCTACATAAAGGGAATTCTGACATTGGACTGAGAAAGCACTCGGACTTCCTTACAAAGGAATTTCATAGTCTGGTGATCTGGCTCTGGAAGCGCCACTGAATCAATAACTTATTTCTCTTGAGAAAAGTATTCTGAGCTCAACCTTAAGATTTTTCAGCTATCAGCCCGGCCCATCAGGGCTGTAGCCAACTGTGCCTCTCAGCCTGCAAAGCAGTGCAGCCCTGTACGCTGGGTTTGCAGAAATATGGGTGGATCGTGTCCGTTTCCCTTGCTTTGCCTTTAAGAGCTGCAGGAATGCAAAGGCAGTGTGGAGAGGTGGGGTCTCCCAGTAGAACTTCTGGCAAAATGTTCCTGGAGATTTCCGCCAGAAACTGAACTGAAAGTCTAA